GGAGGAGGAGGAGGAGGAGGAGGAGGAAGAAGAGGAGGAGGAATAGGAGGAGGAGGAGGAGGAGGAGGAGGAGGAGGAGGGAAGAAGAACGGCGTTACAATAGCTGGCACTGACGCTGCCGCCTCCTCCTCCCTCCTTCGCCCCCTCCTCCCTCCTTCGACGTCGTCCTCGTCGACAGTCCTCCCTCCTTCGCCGTCATCGTCCTCGTCAACAGTCCACAGTCGTTGTCCGTGTCGGCGGCCCTCCTCGTCACCCCTCCTCCCTCCTTCGTCAGCCCTCCTCCCTCCTTCGTCGTCGTCCGTCGTCGTTTCGAAGTCCGCAGTCCCCCGTCCCCCGTCGTCGTCCTCGTCGGCTCCTCCCTCCGTCGTCGTCGTCGGTCGGCCGTCACGAGCCTGCACAAGAATGGGCAGTGCCGACTTCGAAACCGGCCCCGCCCGAAGCGTTTGTTTTTGGGGGGGAAGGCCTGCAGAATTCGAATTCGAAATCGGCAGAGTCTGCAGACCTTTGTCCCAAAAAAAAAACTTCAGGCCGCGGGCGGGGCCGGTTTCGAAGCCGGCGCGGCCTGTTTTCCAATTTTGGGAGGCCGGGGGGGCACCGAACTAAAACCCCACCCCCCTTTTTTTTTTTTTTTTTTTCGACCCTATTTAATTTGGTGCGCCGCACCCGGTGCGGGGCGCAGTGCGGTGCGCTGCGTGCGCAACTCGTGCGCTGAGGCGCGCACCGCGGTGCGCCGCAAGTATGGTTCCAACTCCTAGGTTTATGATTCGCTTACTCCCTCGTACAGGTTCCCCTAACCACAGATCTTCTGAGCACCATTTTGTTTCTGTGATACATACGAAAGTGGATTGACGGCGGAAATAGCTTAATGGTAGAGTATAGCCTTGCCGAGGCTAAGATTGAGGGTTCAAATCCCTTTTTCCACTCGTCAGCTTCCTTCGCTGCCTGGCCAAGAAGAGAATGGAGCCGACACCACCCCACCCTGGGATGGGTGGGAAAGATGAATGCTTCGCGGCGGTTGTGTCACCAGGGTACAGGATCGCAAGTTTGTCGATCTGTAGTGGGTCTGGCTCCAGTACATAACACTCAACATGCATTTGATCACTTTCTGGACCACGTCCATTCGGGCGAGTCCCACATTTTGATTGTATCGGGGCCAGAAAGCGTCCAAATGCATGTAGAGTGTTACTGTAGGGGACCTAGGCCCAATGCACCAAGAACGGTACCCTACCTACACCTAACATGACGCTTGTCTGTCGCATGATCCTAATGTCTCACGTGACAGTAATCCGGTCAGGGGATATTCCAGATAGATGCAATTTTTTTTTTTTTTTTTTTTTTTTTTTTTGTTGAAAGCAAGTATATGTATTCACAATGAATATTCTGTGCCAGAGACAGGTGAATATGGCATTCCATATGCCTGGTTTGGGGCTGAATAGCCGATCACGAGTTCGAGTGCTGAATCAGACAAATTTAATACGCTTAGGGGCTAACCCCCCCTTTAGAAAAGTAACACGTTTATCTAGAAAGTAAAATAAAGAAAAAAAGAAACGTCCAATCATCTTCTTATGAGCAAAACTCACCTTGAGAACTGTGGTTTTACTGAGCTTCCCCAATGGCATCTTCCTTGTGTCATAACCTGCACAGGGATGTCAATGAAAATCCGACGGCCATAAGCAAGTAGGTTATGATTGGGATACAAAAATTAATAAATAAATATAAATAAAAATCACTTGGATAACTTACGTGAAATAACTTCAAATAAGGCATGATCTGTGAAAATTGGAAAGATACAGAGAAGATTTTTAGCATGGCCCCTGTGCAAGGATGACCCTCATAAATTGATGAAGGGCTAGGCTGATTTTCTGGGCGCAAGAGCACCGAACATGTGCCTGGATACACGCCCGGGTGACCGGCTGGGCATGGCCCCCGGGCAAGGTACTGGGCAGCCCCAGTGCAAAACAAAAAAAAAACAATAAAATAAAAATTCAAAAATATTAGGAAAAAAAAATATTGCGCAGAGTTGCCTAAATAGTAAAAACTTAAAAAGGCCTCTTCGGTAAAAAAAATCCGGAAAAATCGACTCACACACCAGCGGAGAGGAGGCATGCCTAAAAAGGCCTCTTCGGTCAATCACGCTAGAAAAAGGGAGGTGGGAGAGGAAGAAGAGGAAAAGAGGAAGAAAAAAAAAGAAGACTTATCACACAATAGCTCCTTCTCCCCTTGAACAACTTCCTCCTCCTACAACTCACCTCCGCCAATGAAATGCCTCAGGTCTCTGTCTTCGAGAGACAAGTGCTCTCGAAAAAGAATAGTAGAATACCATACCATAACTAAATCTCTCTGTCTCTCTCTCAGGATCACCAACAGACTTGCTGATCGGCTGTTATAAGGACTGGAATTTGGTTTTTAAAGGACTGAGATATAGTTACTGTTAAGTATGCCCTAAATAATGTTTTGTGGTACGCCAGACAAATATCTTGTTGATCGGCTGTTATAAGCAGGGTTGTCACGCTGGGATCCCCGAGGCCCATGCCGGGGTCGGGGTTTCAGCCCCAGACCCCCACCCCC